GCTCCTCTTCCAGTTCTTCTCCTGCCTGGTGATGATCACCTACGGGGCCAGCACCTTCTTCAGCTTCCGCGCCTGGAAGGGGCTGGGCAGCAACGCGGCCACCAGCCAAGTGGCCGACCACACGTAAGGGGGGGCAGCACAGCCCCGGCCCCCTGGGCCAGCTGACACCAGGCTTGGTGGCTTTTGGAGCCTCACATGCCACCACCATCTCACTGTGGGACCAGCAGGTGCTGGCAGCAACAGGCAGGAGCAGGGGGCAGGGATGCTACTCTGTGGTCTCCAATGATGCTTCCAGCTGATGTCTCCACAGCACAAAGCCACCAGCACCATCACCCACAGCCTCGCTGGGAGGACATGGACTCACTTCTGCTCATCCTTGGGGTTCATCCAGACCCACACGGGAGCAGCTCTGCCCCAGGGCCCAGCCACACCAGCGCCCTCCAGCACTAACCCTCACTAACCCAGGTGCCTGGCTCAGGTCCCTCCAGCTGCAGTGTAAGTAATTGCCACGAAGGGGGCACAGAGGTGGTGACAGAGCTGGAAGGTGAAGGCCAAGCAAAAGAACCATCTAAACTCTTCCCGTATTGATTTCTAACAATTGGAAGCACAAATGTTGTGCTTTAAATAAAAATCTTCCTAACAAACTCACCCTGTGTTTCCTGGGGACACGGGTTGGTGGGAACCAGAAGCCACGACCTGTCCCCACAGCAGCTCCTCCCTCCACAAGCCAATCAAACAGATTCAGTGGGTTCAGTTTCTTTCTACCCAGAACAGCTGGTGCACAGGGAGGGACACTGCAGGGTGTCCTGCATGTTGTGCAGGGAGACTCGGCTACTGAGGCTCAGGGAGTTTAACTGCATTCAGGGAAGGTGGGGATTGAGAAGGATGCCCCTGGAGATCTGCCCCTTTGTTCTCAGGGAGCTACATGGAGGGTCAGGTTTCCACAACTAGGGACATGTATCTGTGAAAATCAGTAAGGAAATAACCCCAGAATCACAGAATCCTTCTGGTTGGAAAAGACCTTCAAGATCAAGCCCAACCATTAACCCAACTCTCCCAAGTCCAGTGCTAAACCTTGTCCCTCAGCACCACATCTACAGGCTTTCGAACACCTCCAGGGATGGGGACTCCACCTCTTCACCCATTGTCACGACACAATTAAAACTCTTTGAGATCTCAAGTCAGACTTGCAGGCAGGTCCATTCGGTCAAGAAATTCAATTCCTTTCAAAATCCCCCCCTGGAGCTGGGACAAGTGCCAGGAGGGTCATGGAGGGACCAGCTGTCCTGGCAACAGCAGCAGCACAGAGCAGACCTGGGCAGAAGAGCCTGGCACAGGGGCAGGACACTGCAGGAAGCACTGAGGTAAGTTCCCATCAAAGTAAGAATTCACCCCCAAGGTTTCAGTCATTATTTTTGGATGGGAATCAGCAGCTCCTCAGCTGGGTAACTTTGTGTGCCTGAGCGTGGACTCCTGCACTCATGGGAAAAGCTGCTCTTTGTGGCAGAGGTGGATCTGTAAAATCCCATGAATCATAGAATCACAGAATCCTAGGGGTTGGAAGGGACCTCAAAAGATCCCCCAGCCCAACCCCCCTGCCAGAGCAGGGTCACCCAGAGCACATCACACAGGAATGTGTCCAGGGGGGTTGGAATGTCTCCAGAGAAGGAGACTCCACAGCCTCCCTGGGCAGCCTGGCCCAGGGCTCTGTCACTCTCACAGCAAGGTTCTTCCTGAGATTCACATGGAACCTCCTGTGCTCCAATTTGCACCCATTACCCCTTGTCCTATCACTGGTCATCACTGAAAAAAGCTTAACTCCATCTCCCTGACACTCACCCCTTACATATTTGTAAACATTAATGAGGTCACCCCTCAGTCTCCTCTTCTCCAAGCCCAACAGACCCAGCTCCCTCAGCCTTTCCTCATAAGAGAGATGTTCCACTCCCTTAATCATCTTTGTAGCTCTGCACTGGGCTCTTTCCAGCAGTTCCCTGTCCTTCTGGAACTGAGGGGCCCAGAACTGGACACAATACTCCAGATGTGACTTCACCAAGGCAGAATAGAGGGGAAGGAGAACCTCTCTTGACCGACTAACCACACCCTTTCTAATGCACCCCAGGATGCCATTGGCCTTCCTAGCCACAAGGGCACATCCTGGTGGAATGACCCAGCTGGTGGAGCTGCACGAGCTCTGGTGCTGGGAGCAGGTTCAGGACACACATTTCAAACCCCAGAGCTGCAACTTGGCCTTTTTAGGGCTGTGCCTGAAAAGAGAATCAACATGAGCTTGTGTGGTGGCCACCAGGACAGAAAGCTGCAAAGTGGCTTTTGATCCAAACTCAAGCAGAAGGATCCCTGAACCCCTTTGAAAACAAACAGACAGACATTTATTGCAATTTTTTTTACATTTTGCTTTAGCTTCTGGTTTCCATCATTAAAATCTGACAAGCAGAAATTTACTGACAGAGATTGAAGAAGGTCCTGGAGGAGCAGTTTGTTTGGTTCTGTGGTGTTTTTCAAGGACTTGTGGGTGTCCCTGGGGCTGTGCACTCATGAGGGAGGTTTCAACATTCTAGAGTAAGAGCAGACAAAGAACTGCAGAGCCATGGGCACGACACTGTGGAACCCTAATGAGATGAATGACTGCAGCACCCTGCTTGGGATCTACAGCCAGAAGGCCAGGAGGTGACACCCACCATGGCCAGGCAGCTTCTAACAAGCCCTCATGGTCTGTCCAGCAACCCCTCTTGGATTTTGCTGTGTAATTATGGCTTATTTTAGGGCTGGTTTTGCCTGCATGGCCAGGACTCCTCACAAGCATTCAGAAACTATTTCAGTTGAAGAACAAACCCCCTCTGGAAACCACTGCTGGAAAACGGGTTTCATCTCGTTTGTTCTTGTCAAACAAAAACCTGTCATGGCCTGGCTGCAATTTTCCTTCCTCTAGGCCAGGTTCTCCTCAGGTAACAGCCACCAGCTGACACCTTCACCACTGTTGAAGAGTATCCCCCCTGCTGTGGGACACATGGGGGTTCTGCTCCCTGTCCTGAGCTTCTCTCTGGCCTTGACAGACTCACTTGGCCCAAGCACAGCATGAAATGGCAGATTAATGTGTCTGAGCAGCCACAGAACAGAGGGTCCCTGCAGCTCCAAACCAGTTCAATTCCACCCACACAGAGCTGTCCCTGGGGAGCTGTGCTCCCGCTCCATCAGTGACCACTCATGTGGTTTTCACTGGATTCTGAAAAATCCATTCCTGCACTGAGGCTGCCAGAAGGAGCAGCAAACCCACCAGAGTGCTGCACCACATGGGAAACATGCCCATGCCCAACCCACCACCAAGTTCATTTTGCTAGGGTGCTGAAAAGAGAGGGAGAAATGGCCCAACTAGGGCAGAGTTTGGGTCATTGTGGCTATTTTTCCCAGTAAAATGGCTGGGCCTGAACAAAAGGGAATCAGAGAACTTTGCACGTGAAGGATGAGACATAAAAGCAGATGGATTTACACAACAACACAACCGTCAGCTGAGAGTCCTGTGCTGGAACATCTACATGTCATCATAGAATCACTGAATCCCAGGCTGGTTTGGCTTGGAAGGGACCTCAAAGATCATCCAGTCCCACACCCTGCATGGGCAGGGACACCTCCCACCAGCCCAGGTTGCTCCAAGCCCCATCCAACCTGCCCTTCAACACTGCCAGGGATGGGGCAGCCACAGCTTCCCTGGGCAACCTGGGCCAGGCTCTCACCACCCTCACACCAAACAATTTCCTCCTCATGTCTCACCTAGATCTCCCCTCTTCCAGTTTTAATCCCTTTCCCCTTGTCCTCTCCCTCCCTGCCCTTGTCCCAAGTCCCTCCCCAGCTTTCCTGGAGCCTCTTCAGGCACTGGAAGCTGCTCTAAGGTCTCCCTGGAGCCTTCTCCTCTCCAGGCTGAACACCCCAACTCTCCCAGCCTGGCTCCAGAGCAGAGCTGCTCCAGCCCTCTAAAAATTACATTAGAATTCCCAACAGAATCCTCCCATTACAGCACTTCCGATCATATTAAAGCAGTTTGAAAAACTCAAGCCAAGAAAACACTGACAGGGAAGAGCTCAGAGGTTAGATACTCACACCTGACCTTCCAGGAGCTGGAGGCACAGAATTCTTTTTAGTGTCCTCCTGGTGCTGAAAATTGTACATTTTGGGGAGCTGGTGAAGGTGCCAACCCAAATTCACTGTCCTCTCAGGTTGGGGTCCAAATACTGGGCATTGTGGCAAACACTCGTGTCCCCCTGCCCCGGGGGTTGTTGTGTTTCTGTTGAGCCCTCTGGAGATGGCAGAAGAAGCCCTGATGGGCCCACCTTGGTTAGGCCAGACTGGGTGGTGCTCAGACCAGCTTCTGGTCCTACCCCCTGGTGGGCTGTGGTGCTGCCAGCAGCCAGGGTGGCACCTGGATTTCCTGGGCAATTTAGGGATTGCCAGGAGGGACCTTCTGACAATGAACAGTGACAATGAAGGGTCTCAGGCCAATGGAGTGTTTTGACCCAGGTAGAACAATGAATGAATGACCACAGGTCAGAGCTGACTTAGTCTATGGCAACAGAGCTCCCTGCCAGGAAGCTGGTTGGGTTTCTCTTGGAGCAGCAGGTCTGCCAGGACACCACCTAAGGAAACGTCTTGAGATTGAGTGACCTCATCTTTGGGGAGTGCTGTATTTCTCCTAGATACATCACAGAATGGTTGGAGTTAGAAGGGACATTAAAGACTGGGCAAGTGATTCCAGGAACCTGAGGGGAAGGGCTTCCCTTGTGTCTGAGATGATTATTATTATCCACGTTAGGATTATCTATGTTGGGACTACTCAAAAAATCTTTGCAATTCTTAAGCAGTTGGGGTGTAGTGCATTGATATCCCCAACTGACATCCCAAGCTGGGGTATTTATTGGAGGGTTGGTTATTTGGAGTAAATATTCATTCTTAGTCAGCTCCTTTGTGTTTGGGGGTGTCTCTGTCACAGGCATTTCTGAAACACATTTACTCTGGGAGAGACGAATATTCTTCTGTTCTCACTGAACAGAACCAGGTTTCACAGGCAGGTGTTTTTAGGGTGAGGCCTCTGAAGGTGGAGGGTGAAGGAGTTTCCATCACATAAAAGCACCTGGATTCCCACGATCTTTAGTGCTTTAATGTCCAAATGAGAGCAGCAGCACCAGCTGGAGAAGGAGAGCAGTGCAAGAGCTGTCCTAGGAGGAGGACATTGATGATTTGTTCAATGAAGTCACCACCAACCCACTGCTTAAATCCAGGCTTCGACCTTCTTTTTCCTAGAAACGTGGAGGAAGCAGAAATGTGACTTAATGCCGGTTTGGAAAATGAGCTAAAAAAAAAAGAAACTGGCAATTCATGTTCTGTTGTGTCAAATCAACATAAAACTCCAGGTCACCTGAGCATCTGTGACCACATGCAGCTTCCTAGGAGACTTGAAAATGTCCAGCACAGCATTTATTTTCTCCCACTCGTGTCTGTAGCTGGACCCAAACTTCAAGAACTTGCAGAGGAGTCCCTGGAGCTCAGTGACTGTGGCTCTGCCCAGGTGTCACTTCCACCTGGACAGGAGCACCCAGCCAGGAGGCTCAGCAGAGCTCAAGGAACTGGTGAAACCCAGCCCTGCCTTCCCAGTGTCCTCAGGGGGGCAAATCCCAACAGGAACTGTTCCTGCTGCTGAGAGACAGTTTCTCCTCAACCTGCTTCCACTTTCACAACATTTCAAGGGGCAGGGGGAGGTGGCAGGGGACAGGACACTGTGACAACAGCTTTGGCTCTTGTGATTCATTCCATAGAACCACAGAATCCCAGACTGGTTTGAGTTGGAAAGGACCTCAAAGATCATCCATTCCCACCCCCTGCATGGACAGGGACACCTCCCACCAGCCCAGGTTGCCCCAAGCCCCATCCAACCTGCCTTTCAACACTGCCAGAGATGGGGCAGCCACAGCTTCCCTGGGCAACCTGGGCCAGGCTCTCACCACCCTCACACCAAAGAAGATTCCTCCAATGTCCAACCTAAATCTCCCTCTTCCAGTTTTAATCAATTTCCCCAAATCCCGAGGAAAAATCTCATTAAAAAACCTTAATACTTGTTGTTTGTTTCTCTAGCCTGGACAGAGAAGAGGAGAAACACAAATGGAATCAGTGAAAAAAACTAATCTTGGATTGGCTGGGGAATAAAAAAATAAAATGAAGAAAATGTACCACAGAATGGCCAAGGTGAGAAGGGACCTCTGGAGGTCACCTGGTCCAACCCCCCTACTCAAGCAGGGCCCCTCAGGACCACGTCCAGATGGTTCTGCCCATCTCCAGGGATGGAGACTCCACAGCCTCTCTGGGCAGCCTGTGCCAGTCTCAGCCACCCTCACAGGAACAACCTGTGCCCTGATGCTAAGTTGGGAATCAACACCCAAAGATGCAGAATGAGTTTCTTTCTGAGGAACTGCTCCACACAGCAGCTTCACTCATGCTCTCCAGAAATTATTGCATGTATTTTAAGTTTAAACAGCCCCTAACCCAGTGAAGTTCTTTTCCTTCTGACCCTCTGCAGCCTTTGAACAAGCACAGCTGCCTCCTGCAACAACAGCCTTGGGTCCTCTCAGGCAGAGCTACACAAAACCAACAGCCATTAATGCCAGTGAAAATAAACACCACGAGATACTTACAGCTCTGTAATCCAAGAACATTTCTTTGAAAGCCAGAAAGTCAGTAAAAGTGAGAAGCATATCAAATATGTCACCTGCCATTTCATCTTTGTGCTGTCTGGAGAGAAAAAGTTGGGGAATTAGAAATCTCTGGGGGAAAGAAACTCTTTATTTTAAAATGGGACGAGGTCAAAAGGACAAGTAGAACAGTATCAACATTTGAACAAGAATGTTATTATGGGTACTTTGTGAAGCAAAACTTTAGCCAAATATTACCTTGTAGTGTTGCCAATCCAAGTACAGAGAATGACAGAATGGTTTGGGTTGGAAAGGACCTTAAAGCTCATCCAGTCCCACCCCCCTGCATGGGCAGGGACACCTCCCACCAGCCCAGGCTGCTCCAAGCCCCATCCAACCTGCCCTTCAACACTGCCAGGGATGGGGCAGCCACAGCTTCCCTGGGCAACCTGGGCCAGGCTCTCACCACCCTCACAGGGAAGAACTTTATCCTACTGTCCAACTTGAATCTTCCCTCTTTGAACTTCAGACCATGGATATATTATATTTCTCTACATGAAAGTCTCTGGGGTATCACATCAGTCTTTGAAAACCAGACAAAGAAACTTGCCTGTAAGTCAATACAAGTAACACCCACCAGCTTTTCTCTGTTTCTTTCTCCTGGAACAGCCAGACAGACCCTGGGAAGGTTGGGGACAGGCACAGGAGGCCCACATGTGTCCCTAAGAAGGAGGGACTGTGCTTGGTAGAGGAATTTTGCTGGAAACATTGTGGAAGAAAGACTCTGGTGCTCCCATATCAGTGTATTTCAACAAGGTTGGACTTGATGATCTTAGAGCTCTTTTCCAACCTTAATGATTTGATGCTTCTATGATTTTCTTAACAGTGAGGGTTGAGTTGTGTTTTTTCTTTCAATGACTTAATTCTTATCAGAAGGAATTTTGTCTCAGTCTGTCTTTTCAGCACACTATGTGCACTCACAGCAACTCCCCAGTATTTCTTAAAAAAAATTAAGTAAGATTCAAATGTCATAGATACTCAGTTCCCAGTGAGACCCAGTTTGCTTATTCAAGGGGAAAATCAGTGATGGTTCAAAACTGACCTCTCCATAAAGGTGGTTAAAGCTAAAGTGACCAAATGCAAAAGCTTAAGCCAAACCAAACTTTCCCCTAGATGCTTTTACAAAAAATGACAGTGAAGACATGGTATCTCCTGGCTGCTGAGAGGCCACCAGGCCAGTTCAGTGTCCAACACGGAACCTGAAAGGGATAGATGAGACCCAACCTCTTCAGGTTCTGCTTCAAAGTGACAAAGAGAGACAAAACCCTGCAGTGTTCTCATCCTGACTTCTCTTCATACCCCCTAAACCCAACACATCCCAGTGTGACAGCCCAGGATCTTGAGAGCAGCGGAACACGGTGAAGACAAGAAAAGTGGTCAGCACTGCCTTCTTCTTTTAGATCTAAAGAGGAACCTCTCACTAAAGGGAGAAAAGTCAAACCTAAGTATGAATCCAGATCAAAAGAGTTCAATTGAGAAGCAAATGAACCTGCCCTCAAAGCAGAGCAAAGCAGAGACTCACTGCAGGGACAGTGTGAAAGCTGTCATGTCAAAGCCAGGGATCCGGTCAAGCAGTTTCTCTTCAATGTGTTTCTCCACCAAAGAGATCTGAAAAAAAAACCAAAGAAACCATCTCAGGAACATTGCAACCCATTTCAGGAGTAGTTTTTAAAACCAGAGCATCTTTCCTGGCACTTTGTATTATCTTCACTGAGCAACCAGCTGCAGATTCCTCATCTGGGTGATGCTGATTCACTGATTCCTGAATTATGATTCAATAAAACAATTCAATTCCATTTTTTATGGGAATCTTGGTGAGAACAAAACATCTGTGGAAGTTTTCAGGTGAAACAAAGAGAAAGGAACCTCGAGCTCCAGAAAACACCTTACTTGCTCATGAAAGACACAGCAGGGAGTGTGTTGGCTCTGCTCCACATAAACCCAGTGTTTTACAGTATTTTATAATACAGAACCCGATGTTGGCCTTGAATAAACCAAAAAGCAACGTATAAAAAGAATAAGAAGAAGTATCTTACGTATTCATTGAAAATAGAAGTATAGATGAACTTGTTTTCTTCTGAGTCATCAAACTCCTGGTAGTGCTTCTCCATGAAAGTCCTCTGTATTAACTGGAAATCATCATCTGGGCCACAACAAAAGCACATCACGCAGTGAGGATTCAGTCATCCTTTCTGTAACACAAGCCCCTCATTCAGCCCTGCCCTGCTCCCCCCCTTCACCACGAGCCCAGCACACGTGCAGGGACAGTCACACCAGCCCCACAGCTGCCCCAGCCCCCAGCTCTTCCCCAGCTGTGGGAAGGCTGAGGCTGCTGGTGGAGCCAAGTCAGCAGGGGAGCAGCACTGCAGGCTGTGCTGGACACAGGGCTTGGCTCAGACAGAAAGGGATGATCATGCCCACCTAGTAAAGTCTACAATTAGAATCCCAGACTGGTTTGGGTTGGAAGAAACATAAGAGACCATCCAGTCCCAACCCCTGCATGGGCAGGGACACCTCCCACCAGCCCAGGTTGCTCCAAGCCCCATCCAACCTGCCCTTCAACACTGCCAGGGATGGGGCAGCCACAGCTTCCCTGGGCAACCTGGGCCAGGCTCTCACCACCCTCACACCAAACAATTTCCTCCTCATGTCTCACCTAGATCTCCCTCTTCCAGTTTTAATCCCTTCCCCCTTGTCCTCTTCCTCCCTGCCCTTGTCCCAAGTCCCTCCCCAGCTTTCCTGGAGCCCCTTCAGGCACTGGAAGCTGCTCTAAGGTCTCCCTGGAGCCTTCTCTACTCCAGGCTGAGCACCCCCCAACTCTCCCAGCCTGGCTCCAGAGCAGAGCTGCTCCAGCCCTCCCATCATCTCTGTGGCCTCCTCTGGACTCTCTCCAGGAGCTCCATGTCCTTCTTGTGTTGGGTCCTCAAAATTTTCACAATTACTTCTTCTAAGTTTCATTTACACTCAGTAAAAATCCTCCTGCTCTATATTTCACCAATAAGGTTATTTATTCTGAACTCCTTTTTGTTCAGGGTCTCAAGTCAGCAAAACATCTGCAGTTTTTATTAAAGTGAATTCCTATCTCCTACAAGAATTCACAATATTATTTTTTTTTCCCTTCAAATCTAAAAATATTAGTGAATCTCCCAGATTAATTTTCAACTGCTGAAGATTTTTTTTTTCCAGGTGGGGAAGGAAACCTCCTTAGACCCGCTGGACACACTCCTCCTGATGCACCCCAGGATTCCCTTGGCCTTCTTGGCCACAAGGGTACATTGTTGTCCCATGGTAACTCCTTGTCCACCAGGACTCCAAGGTCCCTCTCCACAGAGCTGCTCTCTAGCAGATCACCTCCTAACCTGTCCTGGTGCATTTGGTTGTTCCTTCCCAGGTGCAGGACTATGCATTTGCTCTTGTTGAACCTCATGAGGTTCCTCTTTGCCCAGCTCTCCTGCCTGTCCATATCCTGAGGTGGTAGTTCCTCTGCCCAGCCTGGATTTCTGGGTGAGATTTACAGGTGTCTTTACTGCTTATTTCTGAAGGAGGGTATGGCAGAGGGCAGAGTTTCCAGCCTGAGGAGCAGGCTTGCTGTGCAAACAGCACACAAGAGACTTTTTGTGGGTATTTTTACCATACTGCAGGTCAGAGACACAAAGGAAGGAAAGCTCCTGTGGGGCAGGCAGGGCTGCTGTAGCTGTGTGTGTCTGCTGGCAGAGGAGCAGCTTGCAGGATGTTTAGCACCATCTTGGTGTATCTGCTTGCAGAGCTTACCCATAATAATATCCTCCAGATACCCAACGACTGCATCAAACTCAGCGTCAGAAGGGGAGGAGCTGAGAGCAAAGACAGACAGAGCTGCATGAATACAGAGCTCAACCACATCACAGGTAAAATAAACAAGTGTTAACAAAAGCCTAAGCACGAGTAAGCCCAGTAATTACAAGATAACCCAATCATTTCCTAGTTTCAACATACAAAATAAACCCAGGACACTGGAAAATTGCTCCACTGGGCTCCTCATCAGGCCCTTACTGTGTTTTCCCCAGAGAGGTTCCTACAGATGCAGTTTTGCTGGCACTGCTGGTAAGGGAACCCCAGGCCTGGAGCACGAGGATGTAAAGGGTGTCATTAGAACATGAATGAAGCCTTTTCCAAGCCCCAACTCTCAGCTGCTCCCATCAGCTTTCCTTCCCCTCCCCGCCCTGTGTAACCCCACATTCTGATCACAGAGTCCTAGAGAACCTTCTGAACTCCTCAGCCTTGTGGAACCACCTCAAGTGAATGTTCACACAAGGATCATGTAACTGGAGAAAGTGAAATCTTTCCATGCCACAAGAAACACCCCCACATGCTACAGAGAAAAGGCATCACCTCCTCAGGCAAATTCTATTATCAGCAAATACTAAACATGGTTGTGGATCTGAAGTCATCCAGGGAAGGCACTTTTGGTACCAGTATTTCAGGACTCTGGATCTCTCTGCTAAATCTACTCCTGTGCAGCTTGTTCAGACACATTACACACTCCACAGGATCTCCTTGGCCTTAGCTCATCTTTTGCTGGGGGATGGACTCTTCCTACCTGCTCCAGCAGATGAAGGACAGGCTTGTCTCACACGAGGGACACAAGTTTCATAAGACATTTAACAGACATGTCAGCTTTCATCAGTGAAACCACCACTCATTCTGAGCAGGAAAAGTGGGAAGACACTTCACTTCAAAAGGCCTCTGATCACCAAGAAATGGCCTAGCAACATTTCTCATCTGTTAAGCCTTGGGAGATGAGCAAAGACAAGGAAAGTCTGCTTGTCCAGCAGAGGGCAGGACACAATCAGGAGAGGAGCTGGCACAGCACAGTGGTCCAAGGGTACATCCCACTTAGACTTCAGGCAACAGGGCTCCTCATTTCCCAGTCACAGGCAAGGACAGGGGACTTTGCTGTGGATCATTTCTACTCTTTTCAGAAGAGTAGAAACTCAGAATTACTGTTGGGGTTAGAGCTTATTCTAACAGCAGCAGAAAACTGGAAGTATTCATTTAAAACCCAGTTTCAGTTTCTGAGACAAGTCAAGGAATTTTAACTGTACAAAAAAAACAGTGATTCCATGTCTCTGAACAGGATCATGAATAACTGAGGTTGGAAGGGACCTCCAAAGACCATTGAGTCCAACCCCCCTGCCAGAGCAGGATCAAAACCAGGGCAAGTCACTCAGAAAGGCATCCAGACAGGGCTGGGAAGGCTCCAGAGAAGGAGACTCCACCACCTCTCTGGGCAGCCTGTCCCAGGGCTCTGTCACCCTCACAGCAAAGAAGTTCTTCCTCGTGTTCAGGTGGAACTTCCTGGGCTCCAGTTTGAATCCATTACCCCTCGTCCTGTCCCAGGGCACAAGTGACAAGAGCTTGTCCTGCCTTCTTGCTGCCCTCATGTATTGAGAGACATTCATTAGATCCCCCCTCAGTCTTCTCCTCTCCAGACTGAACAGCCCCAGGTCTCTCAGGTGTTCCAGTCCCTTCATCATCCTCAGAGCCTCCTCTGGGCTCTCTCCAGTAGGTTCCTGTCCCTCTGGAACTGGGGAGCCCAGAACTGGACACAAACACATCTACATTCCCACACACTCACAAACCTTGTGGTTTTGAACCTTTGTCACCTCACCTGGTGTGGTCTAGGCCAGAATAGCCTGTGCTGCAGCACCACCCTGTCTCAGGGCAATTTGTGAGGAACTGAAGGAATTAAATCTACCAACTGCAGAGGCACAGGGACATGTCCCCTTCTGCCACAAGCTCTGTCCTAATATCTACCAGCACAACATTTGGCTGAGACCAACTGTAAAAGGTCTCACATGTCTAGAAGAAGCACATCCAAAGAGGAACAATCTCTGCTTAGAATCAGTGATAGAAGACAACATATTGTCTTGAAAAGAAGACAGAAATGTTAAATTTAAGGTGAACACCAACCCTCTCCCCCTCAATTTTCAGCCTGGTGCCTTGCTCACAGCAGTCTGACTTCACCTGAACCCTGACCTGGTGTTAGCCCCTCCTGGAGCTTTGTATTCTAAGCCTTTTTTCTCCTAAGAGGCAAAACCTGCTAATCAGTGTGGTGTAAACTAAATGTTTGAATTAAGATATTTTAACTAGCAATTAGCTTATTGAAAAGGTGACACAGCCTGCAGCAGACTCACATGGCTACAGTGAAGTTTTCCTCGTCAGAAGTTTCCATCTTCACTGCATAGCCAGGCTGGAGGGGAAGCAACCCACTGTCCTGCTGCTGCCACTGGTGATTTCTTCTTTTCAAAGCACTAAGGAATAACACGTGACTTGGCATTAATACAAATTTAATTATTAAATTCATAGATTCATAGAATGGTTTGGGTTGGAAGGGACCTTAAAGACCATCCAGTCCCAACCCCCTGCATGGGCAGGGACACCTC